AAACAGGCTGCTTCAGCAATGAGGCATGATAGAAAAAGAATTTGTTTCCTTTTTCTGCTCAGATTTGGATTTTTACGTACAGTCCCATACCTCGGCACCAGCCTCTTTCCCAAAGACTCCTGAAATGCCAAATCCACCATTGTAAAACACCCTGATCAAGTATTTCCTGAAATCTAAATAGAAGAACACTTCTGATATTAAAACAAAAAAACAAAACAAAAAAAAAAAGTGCCAAAGAAAGGCATACTTCTTTACAGAAAGCTGAAATAGAAACAAAAGGTCTCAATAAGGACCACAAATGCATAGATGGACGTATGGATCAAATGGACGTAGAATTTTTTTAAACCAGATGAATCTATATGCAGAATTGATTGGATTTATGCTTCAGAAATATTTTCTGACTTCCAAGATGACTGAAATTTCAATAAAAGTTTAAAACTTACCTTTCAAAAAATAAACAAAACCCATCCTCCAAAACCCAACAAAAACAAAACAAAGAATAAAAAAAAAACCACCATATTTTCACAGGTAACTTCTTCCTCCGGTTCACATCCATGCTTTTGGTATTTTAACCTCTTATACTGCTAAGTCTGTCAGAAGAAAATGCGGCACTTCCAGATGCAAGTAAAACACAACCAAACCATGCTCAAAGCCAGGAGTATTTTTTGTGGAAATTGATTGAACGTTACTGTGGAGAGTACAGTAAGTTTGAGATAAAAATACAAAGTAAAGTTGTAGGACAAGATTGTTCAGATATAAGTGCTGGAACATTGATGCAAGCAATAGACAGAGCTTCAAAACACTTAAAATCTTTAAATTGTTTCATCATTAAAAAGATCTTTAACAAATCCCTGATGGGAATACACTGCCACAGCCAAGAAAAAGTAGCTGACTTCCCACATGCCAAACGTCTACTCTCAAGTTCAATTTCTATTTTCCTAAATCAATTTACTTCCATGTAATATACCAATCTCTTAATGCCACACAAGCATCTTACTGAAGTGCTTCAGTGGCTGACAAACATTCAACCATTCATGCAATCATCAATTATTCTCTAATTACAACGACAACTGAAGACTATCCAGGGTCTGGGCATTTTCCACCAGTTAATGGATTTTGCATTCTTTTCTACGTATAGAATCCAGAAGCATAGAAGGTACAGTTCAAAAATCAAGGGATGTATGACACTGAAGCACTACACAACATTTTGTTAAAACAATGATTGGGAGGGCACAAACTGATGTAGAAAAATTGTACATCTCCTAAAAATGGTAGCATTTATAGATGGGCTGTTACACATTAAATCTAGCTGAAGCCTATCTTCATTTACTGCTTCATTAACTTCCACAGTAAGCAGTTCTGTAGTAAAGAGATCAGACAGTGTGCCAGGCTGAACAAGACTGCTATTTGTATCCCAGCTAAACACAGAACAGCTCTATTTTAATGTGTGAGACAAATGGCAATATTATGAAGGATTTGCAGATTCCCTCAAGAGCAGCTGATACCTGGCTGGTTAGACCCACACACAAAATATGAGACTGCTTTTAATTTCTTCATGCAAGAAAAAAAAAATAATGTTTTGCTCAACCATAGCAAAATATAAAAGCCTTTATGAAGGTCAGTTTTGTTTTTAATTTACTTTAAGCCATGTTCTTCACTTAATCTTGAAGTAAAGTATTATTCACAGAGCTGGGGACAAACACCACCATGCAACTTAAACTGGTTAACGCTGCAAATCAAACAGACCTACAGAAGTGAATAGTATCTGTATTATCTTTTTGGGTTATCAGAGCTACAGAACTTCTAAGGATCATAAATCATTACAGAACTTAGTCACAGTGCTATTCAAGGTTTTGAGGACAAAGTTTGATACAGTCAGAGCTAAAGACAGCTGAAGAAGCCAATTTGGAGACGAATGTTTGTTTTACCAACGGAAAGTTTCAGGATTACAAACGTCAAACTGTACTCTGTCATTACATCTGTGTTAATTAAAGCCTTTCAAGGTGATCATGTAATTGAGAGCGAGTTTAATCTCTACATTACAAAAGCATAATGAAGTATAAAGGGATAACAGCACAGTTACCTGACGTTATTTGCACTGTTTGTATTGCTGATCACTTGTGTGGTTTATTCAGAAAACTTTAGGACAAATAAAATATGCTTGTGGATATCTTGGACAGCTGAGTGTACTTTACATTCCTTATTAGCTTCAGATGTGGCAACAAGGGGCTAAAAATAGCCCATGTCCCGCAACACAAACCCAATCTGGCAGTGTAGTTCTGCTAGTAACTGCACAGCATCACTCTCATCACAACTGCAGGAAAAACAAACCACCGAGCCACAATGCTCCTTAAGGGCTGCAGAGATCACACAGCAGCACTCATGTCACCTATGGCAAGTAAGAAACCTTCCCCCACATTTATCATCAGCTTCTACAGAACTGAAGCTTTTATTTTAAAAGTCTCTTCTCCACTCATTTTTACAGGCACAGAGCGACTCCAAATAACATAGTATTTATATAAGTGTTCCATCGTTCCTGAAATTATCAGTTCAAAATTACGTGTTCTTAAGCCCCACTACAGCTGTCAACAATTGCAGAGCTCCAACATGGGTCAGACATAAGGCTAACAGTATTAGCTTCAATCCACATCCCCTGGGAGCTCCCATCTCTTTCTTATACTCAAAAGCCCTTCACAGCTGAGAAGAAACTTCTCAATACAGATATTACTCGAGCTCTCTCCATTACCTACACCATATCCCACGTTTGTGTTGAGACTATCACGTGCAATGGTCACAAATCCATCATTGCAGAGACTCAAGCATTTTAAAACACTTTTCTTCCCCAAACATCTTCTGAATGTTTTGAATTTTCCTCCTCAAATGCCTGCTGCACAGCAGCTGTAAAACACAGAGCTGGCTGCTTTATAGCTGCTACATAGCTACACTGGGAAGAGCAGCAGGATGGGCCAGACCACAGCACAGAAGGAAAACAGCCAAAAAGCCAACTCCAGCCTGGCCCCATGCAGGAGGGTCTAGGAAGGGGAGAAACACAGCCTTCTCTTCTAGAGCCGCGGATGGCTGGAACGGCACTCACATTTCAGTCATGCTTACTTGTCTAAATAAAGCTGAAGGAAGTTAGCTGGATGCAGTTCTCACTATGGCACTGCTCGGAGCTGTGGCTGGGGGCCAGAAATCATCTTTTTTTTTTTTTACCACTTGGGATTTTTCTCTTTCAACTTGAGATGCACTAAAATCTATCCATAAAGCCAAACAAGAAACCTATTGTATGAAAAGAGATCTGAAATTTCACTGCTCATACTGCTATTAAGTACCATTTATTCTGTCAATCCTGAAGTCAGGCATCATGGCAATAACCATGTTATCTTAACACAAAAATACTAACAGTTGCTATTAAATCCATCTTTTGTCTGTGCAATTGATAACCTGGCAGAGGCAGGCTCTGGAGGCTTTCAGAGAAGCAGCTACAGTCAAAGGGCACTGGTTACCAAAACATGAGATTTGTCTGCAGGAGAGCTCCCATCACAGCTGGCAGAGATTCCTATTAATGCTTTGAACTAAACCTGACACTGACGTAACAGAGAATGCAGGAAAAGCCTGTTGCAATCACTGCTTCTAGGACTTCAGCAACAACAGACCCAGCCTACAGCAGGACAGCATGCACCAGCAAACCAAAGAGCACTTCTAGCAGATGACTTGCTGCGCTCCTCTCAGACAATGATGCACAGAAACACAGAGAATGGATTGGTGCCCTCTGGCTTTCCAGCAGCCTTCACCCCATTCCTTATGCAGCTCCCAGAAGCAGCACTGCCCCTCCCCTTCAGAGCTCCAGGTCACTGCTGAGACAGCATCAGCCACAAGAAAGCCATATAAAGCCATCCTGCCTATAAGAAGGACTATAAGAAACCACAAGTAACAAAATGTGGATTTTGCCATACACAAACATCTTCAGGGACAGCACTGGTCTATCTTTATCAAAGTGGGAGCTTCATGCTGCAAGAAGTACAGGAGTTGGAGTTTTTACATCATTCTCAACAGCACAGAGAAAGCATAAAAACTGCTTTATTGAAGATGATGTTTTTTCTTCTACTATTACATGAATGAAAAAATACAGTTGAGAAAGCCTGGACAGTTTCCCACTCCATCTTGTTCCTCATCTGCCAGTCCTCTCAAATTTCAGGTGGGATGAGAATAACCACAGTCAGCAACAGGACTACAGGTACACAGGATTTGCACTACAGAATGACTTCATTCATTCTGTGGGTGTTTTTGGTGACTGAAGAACAGAAACCCACATCTTCTCAATTTGTTAGCACTCTAACTCGTAGTGCTTCTCATTATTAAGTCATTATATTATTAACTCTGTCTTCCACAACTTAGGGACTCGAACATGTTCATCACACAAATACCCCTAGAGAACATTCACCCTGCCAATATAAATATTATAGACATTACTTGTATTTTAATAAATATTCTATAATGGGTAATACTGCAAAAAAGTCTATAATCTTAAATAATGGGAACAAGTAATTCGATATTTTCCCACACCAAAATCAAACAATATTTGAAATTGTATCTGAAGATTATTTTAAAAAAATCTGTACAAAAAGTAAAACTGAAACAGTCCTTTCCAGTGCAACACCACAATTTTAAACAAATGAAATTAAGCACTAAGGGCCATGTGTCTGAACTTCTTAAAGTTAGTGTTCCTAAGGGTATTAAGCAAGTGAAATCTCATGTGCTTTGCTATGCTACCTCGTGAAGCTGCTGTGATTTAGAAATCACTTGTGACAACTTCCACTTCTCTCTTTTTCAGAAAACCAAGCAGTTTAAAGTCACGTAGTTAACACTACTGAAAGGGCTTTTACAGGTTTGAAAACAAAATGAAACACAAAACACTTCCAAAATACATTTCCTGGGTATTTTGAATTGCAAAACAGAAAAATGAAACAAACCTACAAAGAAAATTCAAATGTACATACCTTAATAGGAGCTGTAGAGAACTTGACTTTTCGGTCTGGCACAGGATCTTCCTCTTCAGAAAGTCCAGGAAACTCCTCGTACTCACTGTCATACATATATTCCTCCTCTTCCTCCAAAATTTCGTTGCCTTCAGGGTCCTGGCTCTCTGTATCCCTATAATCATCAAAAGCTGCATTTTCTATTCCAAAAGTACAGAAGCCATCTCTCTGCTTTTCTACTACTTGCTCCTCTTCTCCAGTATCCCCCTCTTGCTGTAGAACATCCTGAACTGGACCATCTTTAACAGACATCCCATCTCTCACTTCTTCCTGATTGGTTCCGTTTCTTTCTGTAAACTCTTCTACTAAATCCAAGGAATAGCTGCTCCTTTTCCCTTCTTGTATTTGATATTTGAGTGGTTGATCCTCATTAACAACATGACCTTTATCCAAACCCTCTTTTCCATGCCCTGAGGTTTCATCTTGCACAGACAGCTCCACACAAGTCTCCTCAACAGGGGAAACCTGGGAAAGAATAGTCTCTGTTCTCCACTTTGCCTCCTGACAGGATATACTGCTCATATCCTGTAGGCTTCTCTCCAGCACGGCTTTCTCTCTCTTGTCTTTTTCAAACACTTCACTCTGCCCACCTCTGTCTATCACAGGCACTTTGGTGGAGGCAATCTTCTCTGGACTTCTTTCAGCAGTAGTAGATGAATCCGAACTGCAGTGGCTTTTCAAAGGGCCCTGATTCAGGTCATCACTTTTGGAAATTTCTTTGGAATCTTCAGTATCACTGTCACCCAGAAAGCTTTCCAGCCTCCTAGAAATGGGCCCAGCATTCAAGATGGAGGTTTTGGAACCATTATTGGGATGCTGCTGCTTCAGCTCACTACCATGATTTTCAACCTTATCCAGTGCAACTGAAGGACTCACATCTGTATTAAAATTGAAGTGGTCTACCACACTGCTACAATCAGAAGCTGAACCATGTCTCCTCTTATCTTCACTTCTTTCACATTTGCTGGGAGAATATCTGTCCACAGAACTTCGTTGTTTTATATTTCTCTCGAACAGCTTCCTGGTCTCCGAAAACTTTTCTGCCAGGGCAACTTTATCCAAATCTGCCTCATCGTTGCTACGTATGATCTTATCAGCAGTAGAAGTCACAGATGACGAATCCACAGGACTGCTGCTGGGGCCAGTATTTGTATTAAGAAGATTGTTCTTTTGGATAATGAGGAAAGATGTGCTACCTGGAGAAGGCCCATGTTCTGCTACTGTGGCCCGACTGATTAATTTGGTCTCAGCAGGTGGACTACTTTCACAAGAGGGTGTGGAAGCGGAGCCTCCCATTTGCAGAAACATACTTTTGATCTTGTGAACTCTATTGCCATAAGTGGCAGCTCTACCTCGACTGTGCGGGTCATTTCCCCCTCCATTAGAAGAGGTGCTCAGCTTCTGCTGCAAGCCCGTTTTGTTGGAAACGTTTTCAGGACTGTTCACTCCATCAAAAGAGCATTTGATAGCGTGGAAGTCAGATTTGTAGGCATTTCGGTGTGGAGAAGCACTTCTTAAAGTCCTTTCCCCTTTGCCCTCAGTTTTCATCATCGTCAGAGAGCAGCTCCCTCAGCTCCTGAGGAGCGGAAAGGAAAACTCACAGGCACCAAGCTGCCACCCTCCGACGCCGCGCAGAGCGGATCCTGCAGAAGAGCTGCCTTTTCCCCCTCAGCCGGCCTCCACGCTCACATTCAGACGGGCTGCGCCGGTGCATACACGGAGAGAAAGAAATCACAGCGCCTGTACGGCCACATCGGATGTTATCTCCGCTGCGGATCACAGTATCCAGAAGGCCATCTGCAAGGGGACGCAGAGTTTTAATTAACTCGGGACCTCGCCAGCGTGCGACACGAATCCCGAACTCGCGTTCCCGGGAGGGAGAGCGGCGCGAGCCCAGATAAAGCCCATTGTGTCCGCCGGGACGCGCAGCCACGGCTGGCGGCGGCCGCCCGGGCATTAGCCCCGAGGGCTCCGCGGAGCAGCGGCCGTCCCCCGCCCGGCATCCCTCCGCCCGGCGCCGGCTGCCAGGGCCGCGGGGCCGCAGCGCGGGGAGGAGGGGTGAGGCCGCCGGCCCTTCCTGCCGCCCAAGGAGGCCGGGCCGAGGCGAGGCAGAGGGACCCGAGTGCCCGCGGGCCGCCCGGAAGCGAGGGAGCCGCGAGTTTCGGCGGCGAGTCGGAGCTCCCCAGCGCCTCCGCACCTCGGGGGTCGCCCCGGCACCTCGCCCCAAACTTTCCGAGCCGGCCTACCTGGGGGCGGGGGTCCAGCCAGCTCCTTCCCCTCAGCGCTCCCGGCCGCCCGGCGGCCGCGCGCACCGCGCCATCGTTACCCGCCGCCCCGCGCTCCCCACGCCGCCTTCCTCCCGCCCCCGCGGCCCCGCTCCAAACCGCCCGCCCGCCCCGCGCCGCCTCTCACGCCGCTCAACGCCCTCCTCGGCTCGGCTCGGGCCCGCCCGCGCGCCGCCTCGCTCCGCTCGCACACAAAGAGAGGGAGCGGCGGGCGCGCCCTCGTTCCTCTCGGCGCGAGGGAAGAGAGGGGCTGGGGGGGCCGAGGGCAGCCCGGGATCTACCACGCCGCGCGAGTTGCGGGTGATACCATGTCGGCGGGACCGGCGGCCGTTAGCGCGGGGCGGGGCGGCCCGGGGCCCTCGAAGGCGTCGAGGCGAGTGGCGGCGGGGAGCGGCCCGGGCCTGGCCCGCCGCACCCTCACCGAAGAACGCGGCCGAGGCGCCGTCCGGGCCGCCCCCGGGGAAGGGCCGCGCGGGATTTTCGAAGCCCGGCGCTGCGGCCGCGGTGTTGATGCCGCTCCCGGCTGAGGGCGTCCCGGCGCGGATAGCCGGAAGTAAAGGGAACGCCGCATCCGCAGACTTTTCTCCCTTTTTCAAATCCACGCCGTTTTAGCAGAAAACCCGCTGACGAGCACGTGGCGCCGGGCGGAAATTCTCCCCGCCGGTACCAAGCGAGAGCCCGGCGGGCAGCGGCGTGTCGGGCACTGCTCTGCGGGGCCGCCGGGAGCCGCGGAGCGCCTTGCCAGCGGGACTGCGCGTGCACAATTGCGTTGGTCCAAATTGCGGCACGGGCTGTGAGCCATCCCGCGAGGTGCGCGGATCGGGTTACTGGCCAGAAGCTGCTTCCACGTAGTATGTACAAATCGCACAACGATCAAGAGAGTGCCCAAAGAAACCAACAGAATGCCTATATTAAAAAGTATTAAAAAGAACTGCAGGCAGATTCTGTATTTTTGCCCTGTGGGAACGTCCAAAATGTGATGGTTTTTCATTCCAAATTCAAATAACTGAGTTTCCAGAGGAACAAAAACTTGAGAAGAGCCAAAGTGCATTTCATCTTGTAGTCACCAGACCAGCGGTGAAATTCAGACATTCTTACAGACATCCACATTGGCTTTTTCTAGCACTTCATTTTTCTGAAACAAAGGGGCTATGAAATTCTTCAGACTTTCTTCCGTGTTTTCAAGTGTTGGGACAGCAGTGTTCACCAAGACCTGCCTCTAGCAGCCTAAGGTACGCCCTGAAGCGCTGCTTTAAGTAACGTTTTACAATAAGTAGTTTCAATCCAAGAGTGACAAATGTTTCACATGTTGAGAATATGTAGTTCTTACCTAGAACAAAGTAGCAGTGGCCTTCCTCCCACATCTCCTGACACTGTTCTTCCTGGGGCTCCCAGGCTGGGCTGAAGCTGCAAGGCTTCTGCACCATTTCCAGTGCACAGTGCTGTAAGAGAACACAAAGAAAACCTCCTTGTACAAAACAAAGTAAATACAGGGTTGTTCTGCAGTTTGAACACTGGGCAAAGACCATTCTGTGCACTGTTTCAGGAGCCTGCCAGCACGTAGGAGGCAGTTCAAAGGAAAACAAAGGCAGAGCTCAGGAACAACATAATAATAGAGCTCAGCTCCAACCTGCGCCCAGGAAAGTGAAAGGCCTTTGCACAAGGTGCCTAAATGAGGCTGCAGCAGGAACATACTCTCCTGTTTTGGATTCCTCTGTGCTTCAGGAAGGTGGGATTACAGAGCATAAACATAAATGTAAGTGCACCAAAGATATCTTTATAAGGAATAAAAAAAAAAAAAAAAAAAAAAAAAAAAAAAGTCTTATTCTACCTAGGATAAGATATGCAAGTTATTTAGGCTAACTATGCTGGCTAGAAGGGACAACATTATCAGGATGGACTGGTTTCTAGTGAGGAAAGACTGAACTGTACTCTAGGTGAATTGATGTGAAGGAAATAACAGAACTATTTACAGAAAGAATGACTAACAAGATTAGAGGAATTCAAGATAAGTACATCTGGAATTTCAGCAAGAAATCTGGGAAGGTGAAGTAGCTTGGGATTTCACCACAGCTAAAACTGCAGTGAAATCCAGGAAGAGCATCCCAGAGATTCAGACTGTGGGGGTAAAACAACGGTGAATAAGCAAGTGGTTTGCACTGAGCATTTTGGCAGTGGAGTGTATTCTGGAAGGACCTCGGCTGCTCAAAATCTTGGGGAAAAGGAATGTATTGTGATATATGAACTCACGAAACCCACGAAAACAGACAAAAAGGAAATGGTTTCCACGAAAAAGAAGATTCTGTAAACTCGGTTGCCCAAACTGCACTGAGGTAAGGTTTGTTTCAGCATTCACTCACAGACCACCACTAGTACAAGAATTACAATATGTGATGGTAAACTAGACCAGATTTTGGAATGGGATTCCCCTAGCAGCTTGCTTTTTCTGTAGAACATTACAGTTGCACAGCAGGACCCCAAAGATTACAAGTGTTGTGGATGAAGAAATGCTTGAAAGACAGGAGCTAATTAAGTTTCGCTCAGTTCCATTCAAATCATGCTGGATAACTTGGTAATTACTCTGCTGCGTGCCAACAGCACCACAGAGAAAGCCTGAAACATCATTGCGTTTGTCTTTGCTATTGTATATGATGACATACATGTTCAGCATTTCTTTTCATTTCTAAAACTGCAGCCCCAGTGGTTGGGTAAGTTACTGCCTGTTCTGTGTTTTACTTCTTCTTCTTCAAGTTGAAATGGAGCTGAAATGGTGAACAGCAGTGCTGTAATCTGGATGGTTTACTCTTGGTTTCTCCTGCTATTGTCACCACTGAGCCTTCCCCATTCTCCCATTCCTTTGTTTTCAGCTGTCACTTGAGCCAAATTATAAAGAAAAAGCCTTTCTTCAGTAAGCATACTGTAGAATGGCATATTTTATAGGTCTGAAAGAAAGAAAAAAGCGGGCCATTAGTACAGGCCCTAATAAGAGTTTTATTTTTAAAATTTGCAAGTGCATTAAAGAAATACTTTGTTGCAAGCAAACTTTAGTTAGAAAGCTATTATGATTTCTGAGTACTGACACTATGAGCTAAGTGCCAGAGCTCAACACTCAAGTCCTCAGCTTTCACGGTTGTCACTTCTGCCTCACAGCAGGGCTGACCTCTCTAATTCCCAAACGTGTCTGTTGTGCAAAGCTCCAGGGAGGGGCAATTCTGTTTGATAATATACATCATGCCTATCTAATGTATTAATTTTCATAAATCAGTACTTCATTTGCCACTTGCTGACTAAGAGCTGGGCCCTTTAGGGACAGGGTCTGCAGAATGGTAAATCCAGTTAGTAACTAGTTCCTCCTACAGCCCACCCAGCGTGTTGTTTCTCAGAAATCCTGTGAATTAATACCCTGACTAATATTCTGGCCACAGAACCACAAATGGTAAATGAAGGTTGATGCAACAGCACTGAAACCTGCATTTAGAGCTACTGGCATGCCAGCATGTTACCAATGATTTCTGCAAGCTAACATTACTTTACATCACAGCTCCAAAGCACATTGGAGATTCTTCACTGGAAGAATCTCTTGAGTTCCAAGTCTACAGAACCTCCTACTCCCTTAAGCTGCTAAAAAAAAAAAAAAAAAAAAAAAAGCCTGACTAGAAAATGCTTGTGATTTTGTGATTTCCCTCACCTTACAAGCCCCATTCCTTATGCAGCCAACCCCGCACACCCAACCTCCTACTCCCTAAAGCTGCTAAAAAAAAAAAAAAAAAAAAAAAAAAAAGCAGCAGGGATGTGAAGAAAGATGCCATTGTAGAATTCTGTGAACACTGGTTTGAGAACATACCAGGTTTCTCAAGCATAGTAAGCAGATGTTAGCGTGACAAGGAGGCAGGGGGTCTTAATAAGAGCCATCCTACTGAATGCTTTTTGAGCAGAAAAATCCCTCAGTGCATTTTTTGGCTTGATAACTGGAGTTCTGATGACATGGTTTAATTGAATTTACAGGAATTCAGCAAATAAAGTTCATGACTATTGTCTATTTCACCAATTTCCAAAGCAACAAAGCACACGCTGTCACACTGCCTGCATATTTCTGAGTATCTCCTACTCTGCGGAGACTTTTGAAAACTGGCCAACTGGTTCAACCAGATTTGACACTGCCTAAGACTTTCCAGCAATAATTATGTTCTAACGAGTTTTGTAAATACAGGCAGAGGAGGAAGAGAGACCTGGTAAAATCAGCCAAGGGAAAGGTAAGAGATTACTCCTTACAAGCCATTGGAGAATCCTGCACAAGTCACACAGGAGGAAAACGTGATGAATGTTGTCAGTCATAAGAAAAGCCTCAGTTTGAAATTGCGTCTTTTTAAAAATGGAAGTCAGTCAACTAAGAGACACACAGTGGAAGGATAACCGACATCTTTAATTCCAGACTTCACAGCACAATTTCTTATTCAGAAGCATTAGTTTCTGTTCGGCCAAGCAGTTTTTACACAAAACCCAAAGTGCTTCTGTAAATCTCTTATCTTAATAATAATCAAGAAAGCTATGAGACTGATTTGAAATAAGTCCTGCTCACACAGTTACGTGCATTTAAAAAAGAATAAAGAACATCTATGTTGTTTCATAGCACGACTAGGAAATCGTTCTGTTAAAATGCCTACCCAGAAGACATACATGCTTATGTACACTTAAAAAGGCAGTTAAAAAAGTATTTTTGAGTTATAAGATAACCTCATAACCTTTGACAGGCACTCCTTAAAAAGTATCTTAATTTTAACCTTCCTATTTCCCAGACCATCTAAAAAACAGACACATGTATGCAGAGATTATGTTTAGATTATAATTTAAAGCCAAGCCAATGTAGGTCGAAAGCAAACTAGAAACTTCATAACTGCTTAGTTTTTAAATTGAACTAGCACATCATAAAGTGGAAAAGGAAAAAGTACAATCTCATAGATGAGTAAATTGTTTCCCCGAGTTACTTACAATTTCGAATAAATAAGGCAATATTTTGAAATTCTGTCAGTATAGAACATGTATGTCCTTAACATTTCCTAGACTTAGAATATTAAAAAACAAACAAACAAACAAACAAAAAAACAACTAACCATCAACTAATAATGTCACAAAAGCAGGAGAAAAGTATGAAGTGAATTCAGGTTCAAAAATTCAGTTAGCTTCTTTAGTAAGTAAGGCTGAGTTATGTGAGCGATAATTATGGAAAATAACACAAAAATGAAAGGTGGAGATAAAAACAGAAGGTACAATTTAGGTATACATTATACACAACAAAACAAAAAACAAAATAATTTAGATCACAAAATCACAGAATTGTAGGGGTTGGAAGGGACCTTCAGAGATCATCGAGTCCAACCAGATCTCTTATGTACCAGGAAAATTTTTTAGTATGATGCAAGGAACTACCAAGAAAACATGCCATTTCCCAGCTTTCTTTAGACAGAAAAGAGGAATCAGATGCCCACTGCAAGATGTACCTGCAATTATGGTAGATGAGGAAGCAAATGGCATTACAAGAAAAAAAAAAAGAGAAACATTTTATGTAAATGCTAAATTCTCATCAACATTTTCAGAGAAATTATTATTATCAGTGAAATTATCAGTGAATCTGTAAAATAGCTTTAAGGGTGTATATGTATGTGCGTGTCTATACAATCAACAGTAATTAGAGCTAATTTTGGAAAGTTCAACTAAAAACATTCAGTTTTTCCTTGGAAAAGTCCTCATTTAAAAAAATTTTAGAGGACAAAATAACTGTAAAGAAAATTCTTTACCATTAAGACAGATTTTTTTTTTTTAAATGTGAGAAGACATATTTCACTTAAGCTGTTTTTTTTTTTCTCATTTCTAATTTAGCTTGTGAATCCAATCACACATTGTCCAGATCTAGCAAGAAATAACTATCTTATGACTGAAGTCTTTCCTACCATGACCCCTAAAGTAAGAGGCAAAAAGAAACCCACACTCTCCAAATCCAAGCAAAAAAGTAATCTCTCAGAAGCAATCACTAAGATTTGCACTACTGTTATGAACTATGACTGAAAAAAATGCATTGTGGGAGAGCAATTTCCTGTTCAGTGCCTGGTGAATAGCAGGCACTACCGCTTTCTGAACTGCAGAGAGATGTGCCAGCCACCTGTTCGAAGGTATTATCTAATTTGAAAATTTCTGTCAGATGTTTGTATTCAAGTGTCACTCAGAATCGTTCAAAGAACTTCATTATCTGCTGGTGGATTATCACTGTTTCAATGCTACTACTAAGGGACTCATCTTGACAGCTGATTGACTGATTCAATTAGACACATTTAAGATGTATATCAGTACCCTGTGGAAAGATAAACAAAGTGCCCATTCCTTTTATTGGTAGGTGGAAGTTCCTTGTTTAAGGGGAGCCGAAACCAGCCTGGCTGATTTCCTAGATTTCACAGCTGGAGCTACTTCAG